TTCTCTCTCCTTTTGGTATATTGGAAATCTTCCATAATAAAATGTTTTTCTTTTTTTTTAAATAATACCTTAGCATTACTAGAATGTACTCCTTGGGTGGGAGTTAGCACTAGCAGATAATTTATTAATTTGTTCACTCAAAAATACCGATTGAGCACAACTGTATATCAGAGACTGTTCTGGGCACTGGGCACAAGGAACTTGCCTGAAAGAGCACCCATCTTAAGAGAGCTGGAAAATAAACAATAAGCCAATACATATGTTACTCTTTGAGAGTAATAAGTGTTATTAAGAAATTAAAACATGTTCGTGTATTCAGAGTGGAGGGCTACTATTTAGACAGGGTAACAGGGGAGGTTTTCTCAGAGGAGGTGACATCTGAACAAAAACCCACATGATGAGAACCGTGCATCTGAGGGACAGTCATAGCGAAGTGTACTCCAGTTAGAAGGAGCAGGAGAACAAGGCTGAGAGGGGAACATGTGTAGCTTGTTCAGGGAACTGGAAGAAGATTAAGGAGCATTGAGAGAAAGGCTGAGCATGAGGTGAGATGAGCTCAGGGACGTGGATAGGGACTAAGCTGTGTGGACCTTGTGAGCCATAGTAAGGAATCTGGATTTTATTTCAAGTCTGATAGAAAACCAGTGGCAGGTTATGACGAGGAGTAATATGAGTGGATTTATATTCATAAAAGCTTATCTGGTCTGCTGTCTGGAGAATGCATCATTGTGGAGCATGAGTGGGCGCTGGGTGGAAGGCTGGGCCAGTTGTCCAGGCAAGAGAGAGTGAGCAGACAGGACCTAAGTGGGAGAAATTACAAGAGTATGTCATTGGTAGAAAACCCTTGAAACTGAGGCTCAGAGGCTGGAATCTGGGGCATACTGAGACTGTGAAGTATTTAATGAGGAGACCAAACATAGGAAAAAGAGACTGATAAATGAATCATAATGCCCCAATTATTTGTTTCCTAGGGCTCCCATAATGAAGTACCACAAACTGGATAACTTAAAACAACAGAAATTTATTGTCCTACAGCTCAGGAGCCTAGAAGTGTGAAACAAAGATACCAGCAAGCTCCATGCTCCCTTTGAAACCTGTAGGGGAGAATTCTTCCTTTCCTCCTCTACCTTCTGGTTTTTGCCAGCAATCCTTGGCATTCCTTGGCTTATAGGTGTGTCACTCCAATCTCTGCCTATGTCATTACATGGCTATTTTTTGTCTGTGTCTGTCTCTTGTCTTCTTATAAGGACACCAGTCATTTTGGATTAGGGCCCACCCTAATGACCTCATCTTAACTTGATTACATCTGCAAAGGCCGTATTTTCAAATAAAGACATGTTTGAAATTTATGGGGGTTAGGATTTCAACATGTCTTTTGGGAACACACAATTCAACCCATAATATCTCACAACCACCACAAGCGAGAAGAGAACAAAAATGTCTTCTAAACATCCAAAATATATATTACCATCTCCATGCCCTTCACTCTCAGAATTGTCCCTCTGGTCTCCACTCAGAGTCTGTTCTTCATTTTACGTGGTATTCTAACCGGTATAGTTGCCTGGTTTTCTTACCCAAAATAGATTTGCAAGTATCCATTAGAAGAGAGAGAGAGGAACAGCAATGACAGCTAGAAGGGTGGACAGCAGTTAGACAATAAAGAGAAGATCAAAACCTGTACAGAGAGGACAACAGAGCTCACAGTCTTAACACTCTGGAGCTGCTCAGAGTAGGAACGAAGTCTTACACTATGCAACTCTGTGGACACTGTTGTCATTTGGTTTTGTACCTAGGAAGAAGCTAAAAAGAACAAAAGGAAGTCTGGGCCCACAAAAGACTTTCCCAAGTCCTGGTTGCTCAAGGCCTTCTTCAAAACTTTCTATATAGTGCTCCTGAAAGCAGTCCTACTGAAGCTAGTGTGTGATGTCTTCTCATTCCTGAATCCTCAGCTGCTGAAGTGAGTTCTTGAGTTGTCCTTTCTGGGCCTCACCTGCCACCCTCCTTTTTCCCTCTTGTGTATGCAGGCAGGAGCTTATTATTAAATTCCCATTTTTTCAATGCTCATAATTTTCTTTCCTTTTATGGCATTGTGTCCATGAAGCATGCAAGACAGTTTTCAAGATCTAAGATGATGAATACTTTAGCCTCTCTCTTTTACATGTCCCTTCCCTCATAGGAGACCAGGTACTTGTTAGGGCTCTTTCCTGTTAAACAGAAGTGCTATGGGCCGACCATGTCCAAGAGGTGGGCGTATACCCCAGGACGGTAACTAACTTCCTCTCTCCACAGTCACAGTCTTCCATGGGAGGTTCAGGTTAATTATGACAAGACTTTGCAATCTGCCACCATCTATGGAATGAACCACCTCAAGAGAAGCCCTTCTAACTCATGCTGGATGCATGTCCTAATTCTTTTTCAGGCTTCCATAGTCCAGAAATGAATCAACTTGTTCCACACAACCACTTTTACCAGGAGGTTGGGGGAGACAGGGCCAGAACATTGCAGTGGCAGCTCTATAGGGCGTTTCCTTCATTATTCATTCTCACAGCCTTGGAAATCAACCCTAAGCTCTTGCTGCTCATCTCCAAGAGAAAGAAAGAACACTTGGAAGACTGTGGAGCTCAGGTCTTCCAAAAGCATTGGACTAATCTGGTCACTTTTGTTACCTACTGTGTAAGGGTAGAGTAGCTGGCTCTGCACAAGGAGAGTGAGGGGCCCTTGAAGGCCTGAAGAGGATCGCTTACTTGGTTTGCTCTGGCAGGTGGATGATCTCCTTTGCAAATGACCATGATGCATACGTGTGGACTGGATATATCTATGTGATCCTCTTATCTGCTGTGGCTCTCATCCAGTCTCTCTGCCAACAATATTATTTTCATTTGTCCTTTGTGCTGGGCATGAGTGTACGAACCATCATCATGGATTCAGTATATAAGAAGGTAAGCAGAATATGCCAGGTATCACCAAAGAAAATCCCCTTAGCAAACATGAGCATTTATTCCAAGATTGAGGAAAACTGGTGGAAGTTATAACTGATCTCAAAGGTTGACTTTGACTAGCCATACAGCCTCCTTTAGGTATTCATTTGGAAATTAGAATACAAAGAATGAGTTCACAGTCATAAGGCATGGGGGGAGCATGACAGATGCACCCCAGGGAGAAGCTGGCAGGCTGTTTTGCTGCCCAGGATCTGCCTCTTGGCTTTGAAGGGTCAGATATCCATTCTTCTCTGCCTCCCTCTAGACAAGCTAAAAATGCCTTGGGAAAGAATATAAAGTCAGAAAATAAGCTGAACAAGAGACAGACTCATGAAACCACCAGCATTTAACCCCAATCCTTAGTGAAACCTGACTCAGAGTCCTGGTATATCCATCTCAAATTACAAACAATTTTGCAGGGAGAGAAGAATGCTCCATGAGCCAGGACTCCATCTCCCAAGACCAACTTTTGCCTAGCAACTCCTTTTTCTAATCTTTATGCACTAACCAAATCTTGCTTTTCCTAACTCTTTTTTTCATTTGTAAATACGTGCAATGTGTTTTCTGAGTTCTGCAGACTTGGAAGCTTTTCTATTTCCTTAAGATGATTTTGCTCATTTTCACTCTGACATATAGTTTTTAAGGTTTAACTTTCTCAGGGCAACTGTTTTTCCCTTATGTCCTCAAGGTGAAGTCTCATTTTATCCCCTAACAAATAAAAATATAGTAGTTGTGATCAGTGACTACAAGCTTGAGGGGAAAATTCATACATGAGGAGATAGGGCTCTCTTTACGTCAGAACATCAGTTACCTTTTCTTTCTTTTTTTTCTTCTACCATCAAAGTGACTTTTCTTGTACAGTTCCTGCTTTCTTCCCTTGCTTTCCTCTCTTGGAACACCAATATGTCTTTGTCTTCCCTGAGTAGATATTGACTCATTGAGAAACACTGGCATGTAATCGAAATGTCTTTAGATCAGAAGTCTGGTCAAGTCCTTTAAACTCCCAGATACCCCTGCACTAGAATTTGTCTTCCCTAAAATGGATCTTTTAATCTCCTTATTCCTTCTGGAGATGTTGAGTTTCTGCTGGTTTCCAGGTATTGAAGTCACTAACCAGACTATCTCAAGCATTTCTATGAATGTGCACTTTTACAAGTGTTATTCATTCCCATCATTTTGATTCTTATTATATTCCAGATTTTGCAAATGTTACAATCAATAAAAAGATTTGTAAAATAGAGCCCTTAATGAGACCTTCATTCACATAAATATCACTATTAAAAGAGTGAAAGAAAATTACTAATTTCATATGTTTAGACAATGGCTCACTCTTTATGAAACATTTTTCAAGTCTATCCTCAATTCACAGCCCTGTGAAGGAAGAGCATTATTACTATTTTACAGAGAACTAGGGCTAAGATAATTTCACTATCTGCAATCTCATAGCCAGTTCTTGACCCCAGACAAGGGTATTGGGATTAAATTAATGACCTTTCTACGTTATTGAGATTTATTAAGAAAAGAAATATATAGTGATTACCTTAAAGGATAATTATATGCTATCTGTCTGTGTGTTTGCTTTTTCATACCAAAGGGGAGGCACAGCAGTGGGCTGTTTCCTTTTGAGCCTTGGTGGTCTTACATTTTAGGAAGTTTCCCTCTTTTTATTGCACAACCAAGAATCCTGGTATGGTCCAAAGAATGCATTGGTGAATTATGATGACAGTAGAGCTTCTGGGATGAGGATGGATGTACGTATCTAGGACCGTCTTTGTGGGAATTGGAAGAAGGGTCCTCTTCTATGAGGAAGATGCAGGCCACACCAGAAGGTGTCTTGGTGAACATAGTGCAAGCTGGTTTCAGTGCTCTGTTGCATTTGTACAAGGGATTATTTTAAGTGACAGACCTGTGAGCATCAGCCTGCTTATCTCTCTAACATGAGAACAGAAAACCCACACTACAAGATTCAGGCATCTAGATATTACCTGCAAATTCCTGAGAATAGGCAAGTGATTTTACTTCAAATGTGTGAATTCTGCAGCTTTCCTCTTTGTTATAAAATTTCTGTCCTTCTAGGGAATCGTTGTAACCTCCTTATAAGAGTATGGTTCTAAATAACATTGTCACATCAGAAGTCTCCAAGGCCAGAATCAATACACGCTCATTTCTTCCACCCCTGCCTCCTTTCCTCCCTCCGTACATTCCTCCATACATACATTCCTCCTTCTCTTCCATCCTTCAGTATTTGACTCCCTACTGTGTACAATATAATACTGTAGTGACATGGACAGATGTAGCCCTTGCCCTCACAGAGTTTACATCTGGCGGGGAAATAGAAAAATGCAATAATTACAGTTCATTCTGATGAATGTAATGACAGAGGTAAGCATAGGATGTTATGGAACTACACAGAAGGAGTATTTAACACAAACTTGGGAGTCTGAGTCTTCTCAGAAGAAGTTGCATCTCAGCTAACACCAAAGGATAAATAGGAGTTTTCTGGGCAAAGAAGTGTGTGGATGGATGGGGTTGGAGGAAGGTGGAAATAGGAGGAAGGAATGATCAAAAATGAGAGGACACTGTGTGTGAAGTTTGGAGGCAAGAAGTCACAGTCCCTTGGAGAAGTTGTTTCCATATGGAGCCCATCCTTCCATTGTGCTCTCACTTCCTGGGTTTCCCCTTCTACTCCCCAGTGTCCTTGGCCTTATCCGTGGATCCCAATCCCAATCTTTCTCTATAGGCGCTGACTCTATCCAACTCAGCCAGGAAGCAGTACACTGTTGGAGAAACAGTGAACCTGATGTCTGTGGATGCCCAGAAACTCATGGATGTGGCCAGCTTCATGCACATGCTGTGGTCAAGTGTTCTGCAAATTGTCTTATCCATCTACTTCCTGTGGAGAGAGTTGGGACCCTCAGTGTTATCAGGTGTTGGGGTGATGGTGCTCATTATCCCAGTTAATGGGATATTGGCCGCCAAGAATAAGGCTATTCAGGTAACAATACAGAGTCAATTGGAGATATATGCCTTCTTTAAAGTCTAAACTCTTGCTTACTCCACTCTAATTCTTATTGGGAGTTTGATCAAGGCAAAGCTGGTGGGAGATTTTCCACCATCCCAAATGTACCCAGATTTCTCTATCTTCTTTTTTCATCTTCTTACCACTCTTAGGGTTTACATACTCTACCTTCATTCATGTTAGAGGGAAGGACTGTCCAGAGACACTGCATATAACCCTTCCATTCTGCTCTGCTGGACCGCCCTCAGCACATTGATTCTTGACCTTGTTTCTCTATCATAGCAGTACAAACCAACCATGCGGAGCCATCACATAAGTGATATAAACTTTAAGCCTAAGTCCTGGCAATCATGCTGCTATCCACCAGGTGGATAGGCTACATACAGACGGTCCTTAGCTCTGCCAGGAATCACAGGTTGGGCAGGGCAGAGGAGGAACAACCTGGGAAGAGAATATAGTCAGGCAAAGGCTGTGGGGCAGTAACAAGCTCGTCATGTTCAAGGATCAGAAAGAAGGTGGGCATGGCAGGTGCAGAGTGGGCTAAGATAGGAGTGGAGAGAGATGAATCCCATCACCAGGCACCACACGTTTTCACTAAGTGACAACCACAAGTGCCCCTAGTGCCTAACACCTGCAGCAAACCTGGACCCTCTCCCATGGAAGTGTGTTTTGTTTTTGTTTTGCTTTTTCCTGGCAGGCCATAAATATGAAGAATAAGGACAAACGTTTAAAGATCATGAATGAGATTCTCAGTGGAATCAAGGTGAGAAGCCAAGCGTTGGTGTCCCTCTGTGTGCAATGACAGAAACAGTGGGCTTATTGCCCTTAACATACCCTGGTAGAGGCTGTGGCTTCCTGCTTCTGGGCCTGTTGTGTGTCACATGACTCCTGACTCATCTGCCTACAAGTCTCCTGTTTCATCTCCTACTACCTCGCCCAGGCCCTCTTTTTTTTTTTTTTTCCTTTTTTTGTCTTTTTCCATGTCCGGCAA